ATTGGTCATACATTACAATCATTAGCTGAAGTAAAACTTTCAATGTGAAGCATTCTAAGTGTTGGGGAAGCTCTTGTCATTCGGGCATTCCAAGTGATATGTTTTGTTCTTCATATCTTTTATGATCCTGAAATGCCCTTCCTAATTTGGTGCGAGCTTACCATGCGTTGGTTTCTTATCAGCTTCACAGGTCTTCCTCCATATTGAGTCTTCCGCGTTGAAGCACCTCGTTCTGACCTTGGAGTTGTATCTTCGTGCTATCACCGTCTTATATGATTCTGCCCGCACGACGACAACTTCCCTGCATTCCTCCAAGTTGTCCAACTCCACCCTGAGTTGTGCATCGTTAAGGCTCATATCATGTACTTGCCTCCTAAGAGAAGGCTCACCAACCTCTACTAGGAGCATGACATCAGTAACATACGTTAGGTTCAAAGACGTCTCTCTAGTTATACCATGCAAGAAACACTGATAAGCCCATAGAACTTCAAGTAACTCGTTCACTCAAGCTCCCTTCATTTCTCCCAAATGTCGTTTAAGCTCAGCCACTATTAACTTGTTGTCACTTCAGCTTGGTCGTCCGTTTGAAGGTGTTCTACTAAGCTGGTGACATGTTTCATGCCTAAATTCTTCTAAAATTCCGTAGTTTTTATCAAGGAATTGTCAAATCATTATCAGTGATGACCGTGAGAGACAAATATATAATTTTCCACCTCAATTGTTGCACCTGTTGGACTGTAGTGATCATTAAGAATTCTACCTATACTCACTTGATAAATAATCAATGACAACCAGCATATAGAAGAGGAGATTACTTGGTAAAATAATCAATGACAACCAGCGTATAGAAGAAGAGATTACGATGTATTATTTAACTCGTACGGAGACGTATTATTTAACTCTCAGGGGTTTAAATATTTCTTAATATTTAATAATATTTTATTTTTAATATAGGAGTACCAGGATTGTTTTTAAATATATCAATTTATGAAAACATATTTTCTCACATCACTTAAATCAGTGATCAACTTTACACTTGTTTATTCTCTATTTTTTTTCTGAATTCAAACCATTCTACTTTCTACTTACTTAACATCCTTCCTTAATTTAAATAATTTCCCTCTCCACTTTAAACTTAAGAGAAAAAGAAATCACATTCCACATATGACATGATAGGCACGCGTAACCACATCCACAGCACCCATACTATTAAACTATTGCACTTTTCAACGACCACAATATAGCTAAAGTTACCTAATCACGTGGCTAGTGTAAATTACCATATACTTTTAGGAGTTTTAGTTTAGTTTAAGAAAATTGTTATTTAAAGTATCCAAAAAACTGATAGTTTTGTTTTCAAAAGAATTCATTCGTCACCACATTTAAATACTAATTAATTCAAAATTAATCTTTAATTTTATAATAATAACATTTTATAAAATATATTATCAATATTCTTAAAACATACACATCATCTTTGACCTATGAATAATTAGAATCAAGGGAAGAACGCATATATCGACAATGAAAAACTAAAACAGATAGTTGTATAAGTAAATTTTGGTGACTAATATTCAATTATTTTGATAAAATTAATGGTGAAAACTGAAAAACGCTTACCTGAGAGGACGACCGATAGACATAGCCCACTACCAATGAATACATAACCAAAAGAGGTGATGGCAGCAGCAGTTGAGAGCCATGTAAGCTCGTGAAAGTTTGGAATCTGAGACAAAAAAATTTGCAAAATCCCAAAGCCGATCATGAAGGGATTGTTGGAAAACTTGCAGGAAGCTGCTTTTCCAGCGTTGTGGAAACAAATTGCTTTCCTTATTGCTCTGCCATATCACACGCATCATCATTCACCATAAAACAAAAAACAGGTTAAATGATTTCTATTAAAGAGTTTTACATTTTATAATTAATAGTTGTATTCTAAATGATTAATTCAATTCTATTAATAGAATTTCCGGAGTTGCTTACAAGTTAGGATCTCGTTAAAATAAAATTTTGATTGATAANATTCACAAATAACACAAGACCTAAATTTTAAGTATGGAAGAAGTTAGACTTGGCAATCTCATTTGCATTTTCGTAATAAATAAATTTGTAAGTAAGCTTTATATTACGCACACCAAGCTTGTGGAGGAAGTTATTGTGTAGCCCACCGTGATCCCAGCGAGCTTGGTATATTGAACCAGTCCACAAAGCACATGCATTCTTCCACCTATTACCACAATAGCAAGACCAAATTAATACAAGTAACACTACCAATCAAAATATTTATTTCATCATTTTTTAAATAGAAAATAATAGAGATTTTTTTCTAGGTTTACTTGCATAAATATATTTTAAAATAAATAAATAAATTTTATAACTTTTCTTCATCGTAAAAAAAATAATTAAAATACTTTTATTTTATAATTTTCAATTCTATACCTTATAAGCATAGATGTTTAAACTAATTAAATATTAAGTGAAGGGAATAAATATAAATGACAATAGAATAAATAATGCTATTCTGAACTTCTATAAAAAGAAACAAAATTGTCCCCATTACAAAGTTAACTTTTTTATTGAAATGTGAATTATTTGAAATAATAATAGAAATAAAGTGAATAAAATTACAACCAACTGATATTACCAAAATTTCAACAATTTAAAGTTAACATATTTAATGGATAAGACAAAAACTGATAGATCTAAATGAAGGTGTCAAATTTATTTATTTGAGAGAAGAACTAACATAATGCATAGACCATCCTTGAAAAAGGTGAAACATGTATATGTACATATAAAAATTTAATAGGAAAAACGTTTTAGAAAGATAATGACTTAGTTCTAACAAATTCATAGTTTACAGCAACAATTTTTAATTGAAGGCAATGATACCAATATAAGTTCAAGTAGCAGAGAGAAATAGAAATGAAAATCACCTAACTTTAGCCACATCATGGTATCGTAACATTTTGTTTTATTTCTATTCTAATCACAAGTTTGCTCGGAAAGGAAAAAATGAATTTCAAAAATTGTTCCACTAAGACTTATAATGGACATCAAAATGTTCTAATAAAGAGATATGGAAACTCTAAACTAGAGTATTTAGTGTGTATGTCTTATTCTCACCCCTCCATTTGTCCTCTGATCATTAAATTATAGTCGTTATAAAAAAAATTTCTACTTAAAGTAATAGTAGGAATGAAATGTTATTCATGATTTAAGTTCATCTATAATCTATATTCATTAATGGATGCATTTTATTTAGTAGAATAATTACCAAGATTTATTATTAAAAGAAGCATAAATACCTAGATAATATTATCAGGTTTTTTATTATAATTTCGATATGTGAGTTACTTATACCAATTATCAATAACAACAAATAACTTTTATTATTTTCAATGAGTATATGAAGAAAAACTAGTTAGATTCTTAACATAACAGAGCTGCAAGCTCTGATGTTTTCCATTTTTAGGGTATATTAGTTAGTTGTAAATAATTCTCGCAGTAAAGATGTATCTTACAAACTAATTGGAAGCAGTGATTAGGAGAAAAAAAGAAAAACAGGTACTGGAATAACTAAATTATGGAAATTTAGAATACCTAAGTAAGCCTTGACAGCCTGCATATAAGTATAATTTCTCTGGCCAGTGACAGGGTCTGGATATCTGTAACAATCGGCTACAAGACTGTAAGTGAAAATAGAGATAGCTGAAAAGGTCACGATACTTCCTATGCCAGCTATCCATCCTAGTTGTGCCATAGCCCATGCCAGAGCCAGCACCCCTGCCCCTACCACCACAGTTATAATGTGTGTGCTTGCCGTCAACACATTCCCTGCAAACAGAACACAAGCATCACAAATAATATATGCAGCTTCATCTAGATTTGAATGCTTTATTTCTTAGGTAAAGTAAGTATGATCACTGGTTAAGGTATACAAATGCACAAAAAGAATCTCAGTTCTCTAAAATAAGTACCCCAATTAAGAAGATAAAGAAACTAATTTCCATTATTCATGATAAAATCAACTATTGATGTATCTACATGTTTAACAAATCATACCATCACTATTAATTTCTTATCAAAGATAGTTTATTTTATTTGAAAATTTCATATTAACTCATATATCTGTGACAGAATACACAACTGAAATTTGCAAACCTCAATTTTACATAAGGTTGATTAGGCCTAAACGGGCATTGCGGTATATTTTACTTCCAAAGTGAGTTGAAAGAGTTAAGTACACTCAATTTGGAAGAGCAAAATCTGGACACGATACAAAGTTTGGCTGTTTCAGTTTTGGCCTTTCGTGCTATAAACGAGTTAAAACGCATTCTAGAAATTGTTAACTTGTTTTAACTTTTGTATCATTAAAATTCTCTCCCAGAGCGTCAACCAGTTAATAAAGTTACTCTCACATAAATATCAACTCAGAACAATTTCATTTTTCAAAACAACTTATAAATACGCAACCAGAATCAAGTCTTCCAGAGGGTATAGAGACTTAAAACCACTGATTTAGAGATCAAATCTAAATATTTTAGTGTTCAGAAACGAAATCAATACAAACTCAGGGATGAAATTGAAGATTCGAGGTAGTTAGAAAGGAAACGAACCGGTTCTTCTGATTCTGCCATCATCGTCTGGTTCCAGTTCGATAAGAGGTTTGGTGTTATCCATTGAGATCCCCTTTTTGTTCCGTCAGGTACCAACACTCCGAGAACGATTCACCATTTGACTTCAGCGGTTTTACACAAATCAGACAGATATGATAATATCTTCTCCAATATGATAAGAAAGAAATGGATAAATACAACACACTTTCTTTATTTACACTTACACATTGGAAATTTTGAATTATATTAGATTCAGACAAAGCGTACACAAAGAAACGTTTATTCATCACGGCGCCATGATTTTTCTCGGTTTAAATTTTTATATAACCTTAATTAATAAAAAAATATTTAATATAACTTTTAATATAGTTATTGTAATAATTAATAAGTTTATAACTGAATGAAAATAACTTCTATGAGTTATTTATTTTAAATTTAATAATAAATCGGTGAGCATATTGTAAAATTGGTTAAACTTGTGACTTATGTTTTTCACATGTATTTTAACTTGAGAAAAATAGAAAAACACAAAATATATGTTCTTCATAAATTAAAATTG